TGTTTCCCCTCTCCCAGCACTCACAAAGTCCACCCTGTCCTCGGCCAGCCAGTTTAGGGCTGGTTTAAGGCTGTTTTAGGGTGGGTTTGGGTGGTTTTAAGGCAGTTTTAGGGATGTTTCCCCTGTCCCAGCACTCACAAAGTCCACCCTGTCCTCGGCCAGCCAGTGGAAGCACTTGAGGAAGAGGAGGAGAGTGAAGAGGGCGACGAAGCGGGGGCTGAAGTCGTCCCTGAACACGGTGAAGGCCAAGCAGGTCTCGGTCACCGCGTACCACGAGCGCTCCAGGAGGTGCTGGGGGGGCACAGGGGGGGCTCAGGGGGGGCTTCAAACCCCCCAGGCCGGACCCCAACGTGGGGCATGAGGGCTCCCGGGGTGGGAAACACACCCAGGAGGGAAGAGAAAGGGCCCTTGGGGTTCAAAATCCACCCCAGAGGGGAGATAAAGGATCATCGGGGGTCAAAATTCACCCCAAAGTGGGGATAAAGGATCCCTTGGGGTTCAACATCCCACCCAAAGTGGGGATAAAGGATCATTGGGGTTCAAAATCTACTCTAAAGGGAAAATAAAGGATCACTGGGGTTCAAAATCCACCCCAAAATGGGGATAAAGGATCTTTGGGGTTTAAGATCCATCCCAAAGTAGAGACAAAAGACTCTTGGCGTTCAAAATCTACCCCAGAGGGGATAAAGGACCCTTGGGGTTCAAAATCCACCCCAAAGTGGAGACAAAAGACTCTTGGGGTTCAAAATCCACACCAGAGGGGAGATAAGGGACCCTTTGGGGTTCAAAATCCCCCCCAAAAATGGCATCAGAGATCTCCTGGGGCTCAGAATCCCTCCAGAAACTGAAACAAAATAATCTCAGCGTTCAAAATTCTCCCCCCCAAAATGGAACTAAAATACTTTCACAGCTCAAAACCCTTCCAAAAATACAACTGAGGGTTTCTGGGGGTTCAAAATCCACCCCAAAAATGGAATCAAAACACTCTGGGGATTCAAAATTTCTCAAAAATGGACCCAAAATCTTCTGAGGATCCAAAATCTCCCCCAAAAAAGCTCTGGAAGCCTCTTGAGGGTCAAACATTCCCCCCCCCCAAAAATTTCCCTAAAAATAAACCCAAAACCACCTCAGGGACCAAAATCTCCCCCCAAAAAAGGTGCTGGAAACCTCTCGAGGTTCAAACCTCCCCCCTCCAAACGGATCCAAAATCCTTAAAATGGAACCCAAACCCATCTGGGGTCCAAAATTCCCTCCAGAAAACGTCCTGGAAGCCTCTTGAGGTTCAACTCCCTCTCTAAAAGGATTCAAAATCCTCCTTCAAACGGACCCAAAGCCCTCCCTGGGTCCAAAATCCCCCCCTAAAATAACACCAAAGACCTGCTGGGGTCCCAAATTCCCCCCTAAACCCTCCCCCAGTCCCCCCATTCCCGAATTCCAGGACTCACCTCCATCTCAGCCGCCCTCAGCTGCCCGAAAAACACCTTCCCCATGAACTTGCCCAGCAGGAAGACCAGGACAAAGGCCTGGATGTACAAAACCTGAGGGGAAAAGGGGCCCAAAAATGTGGGTTTGGTGCCACCGGGACAAGTTCGGCGCCCGAAATTCGGGTCCCAGGGGGATGAGGGGGGGGACAAAGGTGACAGAGAGGAGCCCCCACCCCGTTTTTGGGGGTCCTGAGCGTCGTCCCACCCCCTCCAGGTGTCACCCACCCCCCCAGGGGATTTTTTTTGAGCATCACCAACCCCCAAAGCGCCGTTTTTATCCCCGAAAGCAGAAGTGAGATGCGCCAGGGGAGCTCCCCCCCCCCCCCCCCCGAACAATTAACCCCCCCCAGCAATTAAGCAGCGCTAATTAAGGGGTTAATTAAGCACTCACGGCCATGCTGGGGCTGGATTTGGTGAGATAGACCACGGTGGGGTAGAACTGGTGCTTCAGGTAGTAGGCGTGGGCCACCACGGCCGTGGTGAGCGCCAGGCTCCCGGCCATCACCACCGCCGTGCACAGCATCTCCCCTGCCCAAAAAACACCCTTTTCAACCCAAAAACCTCT